AGCAGGAAAGTAGAATATTGTAGGTTCTAATAGAAAACAAGAGGTTTTTAAACCTTAGGGTTTCAAGCTGTCTCATGATCTTCAACAGAAAAAAAATACCCTTATGGAAGGATGCAACTTCCTGACAAAGTATTTCTCTTTAGGAGGTATAAAGCCTTAATGGTGCTTTGTTTAGGCTGTGTAGCTGGATCCATAAATAACCTTAAAACTCCTCTTAAAAACAGTGAATTTCATCTACACAAGAGGAGGCCTGTCCCTTAACTATCTTTCAGAACAGCTTTGACAAAATTGTTGTGACTGAAAAGCACAAAGCCTGACAGCACAAGCAAATGACCAGAGCAATATGCTTACTGCAAGGCAGGAGGAACATAGGACTTGATATTCCATGTTATTTTTGTGCCCAGATCACAGTGGAGCTGTGTGCAAATGTTCTAATGAAATACTGCTTCTTTCCTTGGGAACAACTAAATGGATTCAGAAACTCCCTGAGAGAAGAACAGTATTGAGCACACAGTAACTGGATTGATCCTCACAGCTTTACATCCGTGCATTTTAGATCCTTGGTAGATTCTAGGCTTCTTCAAATAGATCCATAAAAGGATAACCAAGAAAAACAACCTCAGATGTGTAAACTTGTAAGGAAAGCCTTAATACCTTCTCTGGAACATACCTACAGGTGGTAATTGGGGAAAAAAAAAAGAAAAAGAAAACCACCAGACTAATCTGAAAAGACTTTCTATATCCCAGCACAAGCACTGTTCAGCAGTAGTGCATTTCTAGAAGCTTAAAAAATCTTCTTTTACATTCATTCTCCCTAAGGAGGCATCCACACAGTGAAAGAGGATGTACTGTGTGTCAATCCACTTGGAAATGTCCCAGCATGGACTAACTCACTTCAGTTTTATTGCCACATCAAAAGGTCAGTGTGTTAGCTTGCATTAAAATCATCATTTCATTGTCTGCTGCAGGATTTGATTACACATTAGCTTCTGGGGGTTTGGTTTGGTTGGTTTGTTTTGTGCAATTTTTTTACTGATGAGAATTTATGGGAAAAGTTGCTGGCAGGATGGGGAATGTTCATGGGACCTGGTGCACTTTCCACTACTGAATCAAAACCACAAAAATGTGGCAGGTGGCCTGCAGCAACTCACATCAAAAGGTCTAGAAAAATGAGCAATGTAATCATTACACTCTTAGTGCTGAGACCTATTCATGGCCAACCTGTCCCATTAAATTTCTAGCTACTGTTCCCTTTACAGTATTCTTTCACAATGTGCTATGGAGCTTATTACTGATGTACCAAACCTACTTTGCTGCATGGAGCCTGGTTGCCAACAAGCCCTAATAAGGCATCTCTGAAGGGTAGACGTTTTTTAGGGAAAAAGGAGAATTTGTTTCTCTTCTCTTGCTAGCTGAAATTTCAGTTGTTTTTAAAAAATTAGCTATGGTTGTATTTCAACTTCAGGAAGTCAGCTAAAGGCAGGAGGTCAGGTCAAGTTTGCCCAAATTCAGGGGACCACCTTTTCCCTGTAGTCAGTGGAGTAGGAGGTGAACTTCCAGGCAGCACGATGCAGCTTGCTGGTGGATTTCAGTGGAAGTCAATTAAAAGAGATACCTGAGTGTCTATTGCAGGCATCCTGAACTATGACATGGGTCATTTCTTGCAATGAGCTGATGCAATATATTCAGTTGACAAAAGATTGTTTAAATGACAGTGAGTTTTAGGCTTTTTTGTATTCCTTTTGATCCACAGCTAGCAGATTTTCTTCATGACAACATCTGGAACAGACATTTTGCAGAGCTGATGTGGCTGGCTGGCTGCAATGTCCATCTTGCACATGTCAGTGCTTTACTTGAAGTTTGCAGGAATTGTTGTTCCTAATTATCAGGTGCTATAAGGACACACAGCTGAAAGATGGCCCTTGGTGCCCAAAACTTGGGTTAAACTTCTGTCAGTGACCCTGCTGTGACACCTCTGCCTTGGTGGGCTGCACTGCTTTTTTTCTTGCCCTTTAAAATGACAAAGCTACCAGAAGGTAAGCACCTGGTTATTGTGTTTAATTACTATAATACATACTAGGAGGAAAAACCTGTGTTTACTCTTTAATAATGTTACACTTGGGAAAAAAAAAAAGTGGGGAGAAAAAAAGTGGATTTACTTGAAGGCAGCCGTAGCTTCTGTTTGTGCTGTTTTGCAGTACATGTACTCAGCACTGCAAGAAAGTACCAGTTGTTCCTCATCAGCAAAATGGCTGCAGGTGCCTTGCACCCGGTGTTTTAAAGAAAAGTGTCGGCTTACAGCATTGCTAGGTATGTGGTGCTGTGGGGTTTGGTTGCTTTTGGGGTAGTGAGGATTTTATTTTGGGTTTTTTTTTTGGAATGTGTATTAAGAAAACTCCATGCAACCACTGAGCGATGTTAACAGGAGGTGTGCTGGCACTGACAGTAAGCTCCAGCATCATCTGCTGGAGAAGGGGATTGCAGGGCAGGTGCTCCTGCTGCCCTGGGACACAGTGGGACCCTGAGGGGCAGAGGTGGGCCCGGCTGGCAGGTGTGGAAAGCTGCTCTGTAGGGAATAGGGCTTGACGTGATGTCATGGAGGCTGTGCTTGGGGAGCCCTGTCTTCAGCTGGCATAGAATCACAGAAACAATGAGGTTGGAAAATACTTCTGGGATCATCGACTCCAAATCTGAACACCACCGTGTCAACTAGACCATGGTGCCATATCCATGGTGCCATATCCATGGTGCCATACCAGTCTTTCCTTAAACACCTCTGGGGATGGTGACTCCTCCACCACACCTCCCTGGACACTCCATTCCAATGTCTAATCGCCTTTTCTGTGAAGAAATTCTCTGTAATGTTCAACCCCAACCTCCCCTGGTGCAGCCTAAGACTCTGTCCTCTTGTCCTGTCACTTGTTACCCGGGAGAAGAGGAGGACCCCTCTTTGGCTACAACCTCCTTTCAGGTGTCTGTAGAGAGCGATAAGGCCATTGCTGAGCCTCCTCCCGGTGCAGCGGGATGTGTGGCAGCCGGCGCGGTGCGGGGTGTCGGTGCGGGCCGGGTGCGCGGGCGCTGACAGCCGGGGCGGGCGGGGCCGTGTTTACATCCCGGGCCGCCGCACGCTGCCGCGGCTCCGCGCGCTCCCATTGGCGGCTCGGCCGGCGGCCCCGCCCCGGGGCGGGCGGGCTGAGCCCCGCTGGGCGCGCGGGGCCGCCGGACGAGCCGCCGCTGGCCCGGCGGGGCCCGGGGCCCTATGGAGCGCACCGGAGCGGAGCGGGACGGGGTGATGGTGCCGGGGGTGTGCCCTTCACCAGCGGGGCCGGGCGGCGGAGAGGTGCCGGGGCAGCGGGCGGCGGCAGCCATGGCAGCGCTCCTCCCGGCGCTGCCTGCCTCCTCTCCCGGACGCCTCTGCCGGCGGAGCCGGGGCAGCCGGGCCGGGGCGCGGGGTGCTGCGGGGGGCGCGGGGGTCGGCGCGGCCCCGCGGCACAGGGGCGGCGCTGGGGCGAGCGGGGCGCGGGCTGCGAACGGGCGGGGAAGCCGCCTGCCGCCCTCGCACATGCGCAGCGCGAGTGCAGGCGCGCTATATAGCGGGTTGGCGCCGGCGCCAGCTGAGCAGCGCGGCCCGGGCGGCAGCGGCGGAGGTGCGCGGGGGTCCCGCCGGTGAGCACGGGGGCTGGCGGGGGGATGATGATAATAATAGTAATAACAATAACGATGATGATGTTAACAATGATGGCACTGATGATGGTAGCGAATGTGATGGTAGCGGTGGTGGTGTTGAGGATGGCGGTGATGATAGTAGTAGTAGTGGTACTGGCGGTACCGGCAGACACCGTGCCGGTGGTGGGGGGATGTGAGGTGGGCACTGGCAGCGGTGACCAGGAGCGGTGAGGCGGGAGCGGTGAGGCGGGCTTGCCCTCCCGCCCGTCCGGGCAGCATTTTGGAGGGAGAGTGGCTAAGGAGAGCCGGGGGGGAGATGTCCCCGCGGGCGGCCCCATCCGCACGGAGCGGAGAGTGGCGATGGCCCGGGTGGGCACCCCTGGAGGGAGCGGTGCGGAGGGCCGGGGTGCCGGCGGGATCCCGCCATCGGCTGCCCCCCGCCCCCCCGCGGAGAACCCCGCGGGGGGCGGGCTGCCCGGTTTTGGAGGGAGCCCGGCGCGCTGGGGGCGGGGATGCCGGCCGAGCAGCTTGGCGGGCTGACCCCGGCCGCCCGCCTGCGCCGCACCCCGGCGGGACCCGGCTCCCCCGCCCTGGCACTTGGAGCGGGGTGCCTGTGGGGACACCCCCTCACAGCCCGGTCCCTGCGCTGGGGGGTCCCGTTGAGGGGTGTCCCGGCGGGGGGTGGGTGCCCCCGCGTGTGAGGCGCCGTCCCGGCAGCCCCTTCCTTCCCCTCAGGTTTTGGAGGGAGCCGCGCTCTCAGCCAGGCGGGAGTGCTGGGGGGGCGGGGCGGCCGTCCTGCCCCTCCCGCGTCCCCTCAGCACCCTCGGGAGCGGGTGGGTGTCGGATCGGCCCTTCGGGAGGGGAGGGCGGGCGCCGGCGGTGCCCCCAGCCCAGCCTGACCCCGGCACAGGCCGCCGCCGCCTCCCCGCTCGCTGGAAATTGGCGCGGAACCGGCGCGGCGGGAGCGCGGGCGGCTGCGCCCGGCCCGGCCCATCGCGGCCCGGCCATCCCGGCAGGTGTGGGGAGGCATCGACCCGGGGGGAGCGGCAGCCTCAAAACGTGTGTCTGTGTGGGTGCCTGGAATGGAGGGTGTGGAAGGACTAGAGGGGTCACAGTCACAGGGGCTCCCCACATCCTCTTGTGTGGGAAGTGTCCCTTTATAACTTCTCTGCCCCCACCCCCAGGCAACCTGAGCTAAACTGCTGGCGTACCTGGGCACCCTGCAACAGGACGTGGAGCTGCCCGTGCTTACATACCACAGTCAAGCTATGCTTGGGCATTCCTCGGGCCAGGGGAATACTCGTGCCCTTCTGTTTGAGCTGTGTGAACCATGCTACTCTTTGTGATGAGTTCATGACACAAAGTAGGGAATTTGGTTCTAATTTTGTGAGGATGCACTAACTGAGCTTATCCTATTCTTTGATCCAGGTAGAGATCTTATAGCCCAAAGAAGATGTCAAGGCGCAGGTAAGTTTTTAGCATTGTACTAATATTATCTGTACTAACAACTGCTGTTTTCCTAATGTGTAATGTCTTTTTACTCTTTGCAGTAGCCGTTTGCAAGCCAAACAGCAGCAGCCACTGTCCTGTCAAGAAGAGGCTTCACAAGAACTGCAAGCACTAGATTATGTCCAGACCAGAAAAAGGAGAACAGCAGAGGTGAGCAATTTGAGCAGCTTGGAAAGCTGAATGATACTAAAAGCTCTCCAGTGCATTTGAATGGGACAATCTTTACTTTGCCAAGTTACAAAGAGGGGCAGGGGTAGCAAGAGTTTGCCTGGGCTTTAGAAGGGTGTGCTAGCCACTGTCAAGTGTATTGATGTGTGTCTCTTTTCTCAGCAGGAGATTAAGAAAAGAGAAGATGGGAAAATTGCTAAAAAACATCAATATGAAATTAAGGTAATTCAATCCTGAGTACCATTTCAAACTAGGTGAGGGAGTCTGTCTGGTTTATATCGGTGGGTGTGAAATCATGCATTCCACACCAGAAAGTATTGAATAGGGGAAGGTTTTATTTTCGGTTACTAAAAACTATGGCAGCTTAGCACCTTTTTATCTCTTTTTTGCTTTTTTACACATGACTTTGTTGCAGATAAAAGATCCTTCAATGTAAAATCCACTGCAAAGTAAGGATAGGTGAAAAAAAGATAATAACCCCAGATATTTCAGAACAATTCCATATACAGAGCAGGTAAGGCCTAGAGGCAAGTCTAAACAAGACCACTGCACTTGTTTTAACTTTAGGTGTGGTTTCGTGGCCATTTAGTTAAGATTCATAACCATGCAGGCCATCTTTACTTTCATTTAACAGTTCTTTTGATTATTTAAATCAGTTTAGGAATGTGTTTACACTAACACAGGAAGCTCTTGAAACTGACATGCCCCTTACAGTTTTCTATTTGAAAGCAGATCAGTAAAATATTATAATTTTCTCTTGCAAACAGTATTGGTTTTAGTAGTTTATCTGTTTGTAAAGTAAATGAGAGTAACAGCTATGGTGAAGCTCTTCTGATTTTGAAGTTGTCTTTGTAAATCTTGAGTAGTTGAAAAAGTGCTGCGTAAGTATATCAGTTGTACCTGGGGTGAAACTTAAGTGTTAAGTGTCACAACTTACCTTTGCTGAAAGGAGGAAATCCTGCTTCCCTGTCTCTTCTTCCTTGATAGCTGGCCATGTACTCCATCCCTTGCCTTGCTCCATTCTTTGAACGAAGCAGTAATTAGGTTCATCTTAATAATTTGGCACAACAGAGTAAGTTCTGCCAGGTTAGCAAGTTAAGTCAACCCAGCAGAGGGTCTGACAAGCATTGCGGTGGAACTTGGGCAGTGAGGATCACAGGAGAGAAGGAGTGGGACCTCCCTTTTCTCTTGGCTGTGCATGTTAAGGTAGATTCTGCTGGAATGTGTAACTTTGCTCTTGGGATACTTCAGTCTGGCTATAAATAAGTTTAGATATGCTAAGGAATCCTGTGTAGCTTACCTTGCAAGTCATCTGTATAGGAAAAGCTTCTGTGCTCAGGGACAGGTGTTGCCATTCTTTGTGAATGGGATTCCACCTCAAATCCACAGAATAATTAAGGTTCTCTGTCACCATTTTGAAGGCTGTCAGCCATTACAGCATTGCATGTGCTCCAGGGATTTGATACCTCCTTACTCGTACTGGTTACATATGAGCAAATACGCATGAGTGAAACAAGTTGTAGTTAACTACAGTAATCTGGAATTCCTTCTCTAAGGCTTTCTGCCTGAATACCTTTGCTCTCTTCTCCTTTTGAGTCATTGCATCCCATATTTGGCATTTGCAAGCTGAGGGAGAGTTCACAGCTGCTGCTTGCTCAGTGGGTATCTAGCTCTGGAGCCTGAGATGGGTGGCTCCTCTCTGGAGCACTAAACTGGAAGATAACAAGTCGCTGAATTGCTACTGAGAGACAGTAGAACCTCCACCCCCTCCTTTCTTTTCCCTCTGAATAGATAAGTAGATAGGACTAGCAACCTAATGTCTTGTGTTTTAGTAGCAATTAATGTCTTTGCCTTTTGTACTGTAACTGAGCTTTTCAAGCAATGGGTAGGGTACTTGTGGGTTCATAAACAAAAGACAGTCATCTTCCTCAAAGCTGAGTTCTCAAATGTATCCCATTTATTTATACCTGTTCCACCTTGACTATAGAAATTTTCATTGGCATCTAATTTTCATCTTTTTTTGGTTTCAGTACTTGAATCAATGCTGAGATCCAGAAAGACTAATGTACATTACATATATTGTTTCTGTTACTGTAATCTACTCCTTGCCTTTCTTTCTCTCATAGTAAACTCAGCATTTAAAAGATACCTTGTTTACTTTGCAGAGTTGTTGGCCCCCCACGATAACAGGAGGCATCTCACCTTGCATAATTATTGAAACACCTCACAAAGAATCAGTAACCACTGACTTCTCAAGATTCAAAAAATACAGATTCAGGAACCTCTTCATAAATCCATCACCTTTGCCAGAACTCAAGTAAGTTTAACAGATGCAGTAATTATTGTCTGAATAAATGTCTGAACTACTCTAATAAAATCTGTGGTTTTGTGCTTAGATAATACACACCTCTACTTGTCTTCTCATCCCACAAAAGATTTGATGTAGAAGCAAAAGACAGAAATTCTTTGGTTTGATTGTTTGGATTTTTTTTCCCTGATCTTATAAACACACCAGACAGATAGTTTCCACCTTTCAGAACTGATTTTTTGTAACTTAACACTGGACACTCTTAAGTGGTTAAGAGGCACATAATGGTTAAACTAAGCTTTAAATGCTTAAACTTCTCTCAGTGCTATTGGAACTGAGTGGCCAAAAAATATTTAACAAACTTACCTTAAAGAACATAAAAAGTTCAAATAAACTTGTGGTAATATCACTGTGCAGGTAGCTTGCTAATACAATGCAATGTGCTTGGTGCCGTCACAGTTCTAGACAGTGGCCCTTCTGCAGAGAGATAACTTAGCTGACTAAGTTATAGTTTTCAATTTAATAATTTCTTAGACATTCAGGTGTGTTAGAAAAGTCCCCAGTTGCTGTTTGCATCAGCCTGGGGTTTAATGAAAGAGATGGTAAATTTACTGCAGTGTGCTAAGGAAAGCTTCAGCCAAGGTCAATGAGAAGCAGAACAGGAAGCATCACTTTAAGAGAACCTTTCTAGGTATACCTTGGTTTGTTTTATTTTGTTCTGGCCCAAACTGGATCAGAACTTTGAGGCGCTGCCAGGTGATGCTTTGCCTCAAAGACATGTTCAGATACAGAGTTCCATGCAAGGTGCTTAATCCTGTTGTTGACAGGCATCTAGTAAAGCTGAACTCCATCATTTCTGATTAGCTGAATAGGAGGATAATTTACTTCTGCCTTCCCTGTCCTTCCTTAACTGCTTGAAGAAGATCATAAGTCATTTCTCATTGACTTAAAATTTGTAAGGCAATACTGGTGATCAGCTCTGTCTCTCTGCTTCAGCTTGGGGAAAGGTAAATACGTAACTCCAAAAGCTTCAGTAGGAAATCATAATTTCATTGGTTAACATGCTTTTCCTTTTAGTACCTGCAGGATGAGAAGTATGTCTAAGAAAAAGCCTATATGAATTAATAATAACAATTACAAATAAAGCTATATTGATGATATAGGCATCATCTTCACAAACAGCTAATAAATTATAAGTTAGCAATAAAGAACTCATTTTTTCTCTAGATAGTTTGCTTCTAAGCCTTGAAGTAAGCTAGGAAATAAAGGGATGGATGAGTGACTTTAAACACTATCTCCAGTTTTTCTCAAGCTAAACTGGACAACTTATGTATGCTTTTGTGTTTCCTGAGGAGGAGTATATTGTCCTTTTTTAGGGGGGAGGGTTTGGTTTCATCTTGCTCTCTGAACAGCCACCAAACTAGGTGAAATAGGAAACTCTGGTTGCATGTGCAACTTTGAGAGTCACATGTTCAGTTTTACTACCTGTTCTGTAGAACTGGACTTGCTGGTGATCTTGGCAAGGTGCTGTTGTGGTGATGTAAAACGTTCCAAGTATTCCTGCAGTTTTCCAATTACTGTAAGAATCTTATAGTATGTGGAATTTTTCTTTTTGTTTCTGAATGTCTGTAAACGATAAATAATGTTTTTATTATTTATTTTTTTGTAACAATGTTTTGTGTAACTTTATTCCATAGCTGGGGAAATTCCAAAGATGTCTGGCTCAACATCCTGACGAAGGAGAACAGATACGCTCACTGCAAACACTTCACATCACTACATTCTAGTTTGCAGCCTCACATGAGATCGATACTGCTAGACTGGCTCTTAGAGGTGTGTACTTTTAGTTACTTTGCCATGTGTTGTGCCTGTGAAGTAGGCAGGTAAAAGCACAGCTTTTACATAAAGATATAATAGTAACATGTACAGTTATAACAAATGGCAAAACTGTTGTGCAGCAGAACAAGCTTTTGATCCTCTTGGTGAGCTACATCTGGGCCTTCCCAGGCAGGAGGCACTGAACTTTCCCCCCAGGACAGTGAGCAATAATATTTAATTTTGCTCATGACACCCTACATCCTGCTAAGGAGAGAAGTCTAGTTTAGAGACACTTGTATTGAGATTGCTGTAGACAGACCAGTTATGGATCGCTTATGGGGTAGACTGTGTCTAAGCCATGAGAACACTGCATCTGCATTGAGGATTTATGACCCTGACCATGTCAAGAGCTCTTGAGTGTCAGCCCATGATGCTATTTTCTGATTTCATAGTGAATTTTCAGAATTCATCATATGAAGAGAGCAGAATATATAAATGGCTGACAGGTAAAGGTTCTTGATATAGACAGCTTCATATGTGGAAAGGTTACAAATAAATTGTATTAGCAAGGAGTTTCAAGGAAAATGAAAGGTTTAGTTATTTTTTAAATGCACTGAATAAAAAAATTATTCAAATTGTGTGCTTCACTAGTTCCTCTAACATGGAATTTACATATCGCCATTAAACTAATTTGTTGGGTTTTTTTAAATCTTGAATTAGGAAATCATCCAATTTCCAAACAAAAATATCAACAAGGGTATTGCTTTTGTCCAGGTCAGTGGTTCTGCCACTGTGGATTTAAATCCCAGCAACTTTGAGACCTTTTCAGTAGTTCTTACACTCTTCTGTAACATTATAACAGATACTGCTTAACATGACCAAGTGTTATTATGTTTGGGAAATAACACTTATCTGAAACTCTGCCATTTATTTATGGGTGGGCCTGGTCTCTACGTTTTAGTTCTGAATCTCCTTTGGAGCAGTTGTTAGTAGTATCAGAGTAATACATCAATTATCAGGCAAATATATCAGGTTTAAATGCATGAGGCTGTGCTATTTCTGCCAGTCAGTTGCATTTTTGGTGGTCAGGAAGGGCTTTAATTTGTAAATGAGCTTCCAACCTTATCTTGGGAAATAGCTTGAAGTAACAAGGTTTTATTCTGCCTTTGTATCCAAGTAAAATAATAAAGCGGCTGGGATCTATTTTTTGGATAGTCTTTTCTGTTCTTGTTCTTCACTTCATGTAGATTGTAAGTAATTAATAGATATCTAACTGCTTTCTAGTTGTGAAAAGGGTATGGAGTTGCAGACAAGCTGGATATGTGGTAGCCCCTCCCAATTAAATTCTAGATTAGATGAAAAAGTAGGGCTCTCCTTAAGATCTGCAGGTCTGGGCACTCGCCTTTCTTTTTTTGTTGAACTGGCATTTGAAACACTTCGATACAATGCGAGTATTAAAAGTTCTCCCTGCCAGGGAGACCAGCAATGGGATGGAGCAGATGGCGGCTCCTGCAGTTTTGTTCCTGCTTAGTGAGGCTGTCGGTGTGCCTGAGGGGCTGCAGGCAGTGCTCCTGGCCTGCCAGCAGAGCCCCCTCCAGCAGGAGCTTCCAGGCGTCTTTGCTGTAGAGCCAAAGGCTTTGATTTTTTTAGTGGTTCTGCCTGGGACAGACCTACTAAGAATTCAGTGAGGATTTGACTTCAGCTTGATGCTTGGAGAGTATTCTTAATTAAGGAAATTAGTGTGTGTATGTGTAGGTGTTGCTGTTCTATTGGGTTTTTTTCCTCAACAGGCTTTCTTCTTTCAGTGGAAAATTGGTTGCTGTTTAATTTAGAAAAAGTATTTTTTGAAAGTCTGTTAGTACGTCATAGGTAATGCACATTTAGGTGGGAGCATGGGAAATACCTTTTCCAGTCCCATGCTAACCTACCATACCTTGGTATGCAAAGCTTTATGGGTGCAAAAGATGAACCTGCATTTTGCTGTTAAAGCTTGAATACGCCATTGTGTGTACATAGTTTTATAACAGAAAACTGAATGGTTTTTTTCCCCCTGTTGTAGGTGTGTGAGGTGTATGCACTCCATCGGGAAACCTTCTACCTAGCTCAAGACTTCTTTGATAGATTCATGTTGACCCAAAAGAACATTAACAAGAGCATGCTTCAGCTCATAGGAATTACCTCATTATTTATTGCCTCCAAACTTGAGGTAAGAAACATTGTTACAGGGAGGAGGATATTGAATTTGGAGTAACTAAAAAGACAGTCATAACGATTATTTCTTGTCTGAATCTTTTGAACTTGATAGTGTAGATACAACACTGAAAGTCAGAAGGGGAATTTTTTTACTCTTCCTTCAATTGTACATTTGTCAGTCTCTTGGAGAGCAGTTTTTGTCCTCCCTTTCTCCAGCAGCAGGGAAGGAGACCACATAAAGTTAAAAGGCATGCAAATGTGCTAGAAGTAGCTTTGTTTTGTCTTGTCTTTTCCCAAATATATAGCAGTTGCCAAACAATCTCAGGAATGGGTGTGGGACTTGAACAAAACCAAGCCCAAGTCTCAAACTGTCTGTACATCAGGCTGATACCCTTACAATAGCCTCCATTTAGTGGAGTGTGAGTCTCAAGTGCAGCGATGGTGATACCTCATATTGTGTGCTACATCGATGGGCCAGGAGCATGCCTTTGGATAATGCATAGTGGGCAGGACTGACAGGAAAACTTGGGATTAAATTGTTAACTTGGAATCCTCAGATCTCACTGTGGTTCCCAAGGCAAGATTGTGCACTATGAGCACTCACCTGTCCTAAGGAAGTGTGTGGGGCCATGGTGCTCGCAGAGCCAGCTAGTAGGGAAGCAGTTTTGCTGGCAAGCTCTCTTCTACTTACACATCAAACTATGCTTGGCCCCAGCTGGCATGACTGGCTTAGCAAATTTCCTTAACCATCTCTGCACCATGGATTTTGACAGAGTGGCTGGTTGTGGGATTTTCTCTCTTTCTTTTTTTTTTTTTTTTTTAAACTTCTCTCTTTTTTTTTTTCATTTATTTTTTAGTAACATGTGATTACATCAGCACTGACAGTGCAGCTAACCTGTACCAGCCAGCCATCTGTAGGAAAATTGGGATGATGTATGTTTTTTACAGCATTGGAATGGCTGAGTAGAAAGATCTATAAATGAAAGGGTGTTCTGATTGCTTGGTCAGCATTTATTTTTGCAGAAGCTCAAAGAGTTGCAATCAGTCCATTGCATTATACAACAAATATTAGAACCCAAGTAGGTTATAGGTTATCTCCTTTTCCTGTAAGTTTCATGTCAGTTCATATAATGAAAAAAACACTGTTGTAGCATAAGAAATGTTAACATGTCAGTACGGACAGAAAAGTATTTCCTGGTGTCTTGTCAACCTTTCTTAGAACTCTAAGATACTCATCTTCATTTTCCCTCCCTTTAAAGGAAATCTATGCTCCTAAAATACAGGAATTCGCTTATGTCACTGATGGTGCTTGCAGTGAAGATGATATTGTAAGAATGGAGCTTATTATGTTAAAGGTAATTATTTGCTGTGTTTCTAAGTGCTGGGTGAAAGACTTTCCAGGTGAGCCTTGTGTTTTAATGTCACTTACTTGCTTAGAAAAATGAACCTGTCCCTGTTTCTGCACAATAGTGAAGCCTTTGTTGTGTGTGCAGTGGACCTCTGACACTCTGGCTGGGATGCAGTCCCTGACTGGTAGAAAAGGGCAGGTTTCTTGTGTGAACGTAAAAGCTCTCAACAGTGCAGCCAGCCACAGGCAGGCTGGAAGGCTGTCACTGTAATGTACTGCACATGCCAACATCCTTTGCTGTCCAGGAACAGAGGCTTCTGGAGAGACAGGCAAAGACCTCACTGCTTGGTGTTCCTCATGTTGGAAAGGATCCATCTTTACCAGCACAGGACTCGATACATTAATTTTTTCTGAATAGATATGAGCTGCAGGTTCAGACAGGTAGCCCAAAAGCTTGAGGAAATATTAATTTCCCAGCTTCTGAATGGACAAGATATATAAAATCCAACTGCACAGGTAAAAGGATACAGATTTGTGCTGATCCTAGTGCAGCCTTTTCAAAAAGCAGTGAGAATGCAACCTAAAGAGCGGATTTGTAAACTTGAAACTGTGAATAATTTTTAGTATCTTTAAAGGATATGTGCAATAATCTAAGCAGAGGTATAGGAAGAAATCAGAGCACAAAGCTGTCCTTGAGTGGTTTAGGGCACTTAACTGTTTGTTAAATATTTGCAGGCTTTAAAATGGGAACTCTGTCCAGTGACAATTGTCTCTTGGCTGAACCTGTATCTTCAAGTGGATGCTCTGAAGGATGTTCCAAAAGTGCTGCTACCTCAGTATTCTCAGGAAAAATTCATTCAAATAGCCCAGGTAGGTAGTAAACTGTTGGGAAATGGTTCTTAGAGCATTGGCAAGCACTACTGGACATCACACCCTGAAAGACACTTTGTTCTAAGTGTTCCCTTGTTTCCCCATGCCTGTTACTTTAAGTAACATGCAAGTTTGACTCTACCAAAGAAATTCAGTTTCGAGGACAAGTATTCTGTGTTTCTTGTCTCCCTGCTTTCACATACTTTGACTTTTCTGTATGTTGGAAAAATAAAAAATCTATTTCATGTCTTTAATCACTGTGCACTCCAGCATTCTGTAAACAGCAGTGACATCTCTGAGAGCAAGGTGGATAATTTTGGACTCTAGGCTGTTTTTACCTGTGTTGACCCTGACAGTATTTCTGTGTAATTGCCAAGGCAGCAGCCTGGGGAGTGTTGACTATTTTGGAAGTGCTGTGGTTCAGTTTGTATGAACATGTGTTGTACCCAGCCTCAGAGATGCTTATTGAAGCTGGGTAGTCAGTGTTGTAAATACTGCACTATGTAGTATTTAAATTTAAGACAGTAGCTTCCTGGAGCTCAGCCCTGTTCTGGGGCAGAGGCTGTAGGACTGCTGTGTGTATAGCCCTCTCTGAGACAGGATGCTAAAGCATCAGTTTGTTAAAATTTGTTACTCTTCATGTCCTCAGCTTTTAGACCTGTGTATTCTGGATGTGAATTCTTTGGACTTCCAGTACAGAACACTAGCTGCTGCAGCGCTCTGCCACTATACCTCAATCGAAATAGTTAAGAAAGCTTCAGGTAAGATGCCTCCGTAAAGCTGGGCCTTGTTAGGCAGAGAATTCTGGAAGCTGTCACAGGCCCACATCTGCTTAAAGAGGGTATTGGTTTACCAAGCTGCCAAAGACCAAAACCAACATCGACGCTAGTATTTGTTCCGTGGGTTGCTTTTACTTCTAATTTCACTTTCTACACTATTTCAGATGTTACAAAGACACAAAATAAAACACTTTCAGCAGTGCGGCTTTTGCTAAGGAACTGAAACATTTCTTGTTCTTGCTTTTGGGCTAATAGTTGCCCTATGACTTCCAGGTGTTTGGGGGATCATGAGCTATAGATTTGGCCAATTTTTCTCCTGAAATGTAGTTCTCAAGCAGTCATGCATGTCTGTTTTTATAGCATGCATGCATGTTTTTATAGCATGAGCCACAATCTTGTGTTCAAGCCACAAGTCACTTCAGCCTCCCCTGTAAAGAAACAATCCTTGTGACCTCCATTCACCCTCCTTAGCCACCACCCTTTTAAATAACAAGCATAAAGAAAATGTCTGTTTCTGGGAGGATGTTTCTGAATTTTTATCTGCAGTATTATTTATTGTGTTTTTTAAACTCATGGCCATATTGAAACACTGTGCAACTCCCTCATCATTTCTGAATATATTCCTGTTTTCTACTCTTCAGGCTTAGATTGGGACAGCATTTCAGAGTGTGTACAATGGATGGTTCCTTTTGTGAATGTGGCAAAAAAGGTCCCTGTGAAGCTGAAGAACTTTAAGAAGGTTGCAGCGGAAGATCGACACAATATCCAGACTCACACAAATTATCTGGACATGCTGGTAAGTGGTTTGTGGATGTGCTGTTTGGGCAGCTGAGAGTTCATTACACATCTCTTGGCCTGAGGCAGCTGTGAGTGGCCCAAGCACGTCCTTGCTTGCCCTCAGTGAGTGAGTGCCCAGCCACCAGTGATGCTATAAACAACACGTGATTTACCCTAAGGCTCCCAAGCTATAAGCAAACACTTGCACTACCAGTATTGGAGAGATGTTTATAAGAGAATAATACTCACTTTGTTATGCAACATCACTTTGGTTTTCTCAGTATCCTGACTCTGGAGCACTTGAATTGTATGACTGGTTGAGGCAGCACTGCTGCCTCCTACTGCCACAAAAAAGGAGATCTTGTCACCGCTATTAAGTTCTGTCTTCTTTCCCCAATACACAGGAAGAAGTGAACAGTGGAGTAGTGGCTACTGCCCCAGGGCAGTTATCACCTGTGTCAACAGGAGGAATAATAACACCTCCAAAAAGCACAGAGAAGAAATGAAATACAGTCAATTGTCATGAACAGATTCAGAAACAAGACTTGGTGCTTCAGAACAAGAAAGACCACATTAAAGGTGACTCAAGCTCTTTACTGCTAGACTTGGGCAGTAAAAGACACAGCAGATGCAAACTGAGACCAGCATCCTCCTACAGACTTGACAAAAAGAGCTCAGCTGAGCATTGCACCCTGCTATCACAAGAGCCTTGGACCACTTTGGTCCATTCTGATGTGACTTAATGGTGAGAATTGAATTTTTAACTTATGACTTTCAAGAATATTTTTAATAGGGCTGGGTGGCAAGATTTGTCAACTCAGTTTACATGGCAGACTTGCTTTAATTTGGCTTAGATGAGCAAGAGCATTTTGACAGCTTGTATGTATTACCTCTTCTTGACCCTTTTTCCTTTCCTGGTAAGGTCAGAGCTCACTCATGTCAGTTTGTCCACCCAGCTCAGAGAGCAGTATTACAGAGGCCTGTGGGCAAGCACATCTCTGAAACCACGCTGTGTGTGCAGGACAGTGCAGACAGCCTTGTATCAAATCCCAGCTCCACAGGAGGCTGATGAATTTAAGGCCCTTTAGGCCTGCCATGAACTTCAGTTTTAGTGTATCACTGACCTCAGGTAAGAGTACCAGCAAAGAAGCTGCTGCTGCAGTAACCTGAACTGGAACAAGTACAGTCCCCAGACATCCACTTGGAACAAGAAAGAACAGTATGAAAACTGGAGAAGGTATGGAATAAAGGGAACCACAGGTACTCTACAACCACTCACATCATAGGAACAGTATTTCAAACTGTGGAGCTGTATGTTATCAGTGTTTATAAACAGCATTAACTACTGTGTTTTCCTTGGAATATTCACTACCTCTGAGTCACTTCTGTGATGAAGGGCAGTACTGGGAAAGAAGGGTATCAGTCCTCCTCCCTCTTTCATGATGCTCCTAGCTGTGCCACGCATCCAGGGACAAGTGTTACATGACACTGAGCAGCCCACAAAGCTGCAGTAGAGCATCAAGTGCCACCCACATCCACATTACACTCACAATAACTAAGCAAACTTGAATTCATGTCTTCTTCAAACAAGCCATTGTGGAACTAGATGCAGTTGCTTCCAGCCTTCTGTACAGTTTGTAAAAATAAGGGGTTTATTTTAAGATTTCATCTATTTCTAAGGAGAAAGATAATAGACTGTAAATGTTGTACAAAAATTTAAATGAATTTTAAAAAATAATAAAGTCTTGAAAGATTTTTTCACTTTTACATGTTTTGTAATAGTCTTCCAGCATTACCCTAAAAGTAAAGTTTTGCCATTGCTTGAAGAAACTTCTTTTTCCTTCTCTGTGCAGCAAGCTGTAGGACTTCCTCAGGATTGCTGGCATTCAGCTCTGTCTGGCCAATGGCTTTTATCTTGAAACAAAAGAGGAGACACAACCAGCATGAGGCCTTCCAGTAAAGCTGTTTCATTTTAAGGCATTTTCAGCACAGATCAGTGGGTGATTTATTTCTGTAACATGCCCTACCCATCACACCCCTACAACCACAACTTCATGTAAAGCACCCAGATTTTAAAAGAATTATAAGACAAAATTAAAACTGGAATTGAAACCACCTTTTCAGAGGTGATTTCAGGGAGGGAAAGACTAAAGAAATCCCAGCACCCTGGGTTAGCTTACTGCTATCTGCCGCTTGTCTGTCTCGCCTCTTTTGTGGTGGAGATCTGAGGACAAGTCAAGAAAAGTCACGTAGGTAGGTAATGGACTTTTCCCAGCTGTGAACATGCAGTAGGTGTGATATTCCAGCAAAAGGATACATGTCAAGTACTCCAAGATGGTGACATCCCAGATGTATTCATAATAAGAATCCATGGCATCATGACTGAAAGACAAGGCAGGTTAACTGACACAGTCACACATTATCTTTAAGCATCTATAAACTTCATTGTAACATTTACCTGTTCTGTTCCTGCAGTGCCTTAAAAGCAGTTTTATAGTCTACTTCTCTGAGGAACTGGCACAAAATAGCTACCTGTAAGGGAAGAGTCACAGTGATTCTCACTGCCTTAATTCCCCACAAAGAAGCCTTCCACAAGCTGCCTTGTTCATTCCACTCCTTTTCTAGACCTAATCTAGACATTGCTTCCAGGGTAAGCAAGTTCTGAGCACCTGAACATGGATCATTCTGACATCAACAGCAACAGCTAAAAGAAAAAGGATTTACTCAGATCAGAAGGGACTGACTTGGTTTCCAAATGCATTTAAGAGCTTTTAAAGCAGAGCCCAATACAAGCTTTGTTACTTCTTGGAGAATGACTGACCCCACAGAACAGCAACAGCACCTGCAGTTATGAAAAACAAGGCCAGGTTCCCAACATCACCCCACAGATACCTTCTCTCTAAAAAAACCAACTATATTATCAGAGAAAAGTAAGACAAAACAGCCCCAGACTACTTCTATTTTATACACTTCAAAGTATGTGCTTACTTACTCATTAATTTTAGTCCTATAACTGTCCTAGAAGCAAAGGTAACAAAACCTATTCTACCGCAGATGGCATTTCCAAGGAAGTTGAATTCAGTCTTTTAAAGTTATCCCGTATATATTTATAAACAAATGTTTTAGTTAATGCCATGCTTCACCTCTTACCTGGGTATGACAATTGAGTAAAGAGCAACACTTGATCATTCTCTTTATCACCTACAGAAAGGTTAAAAACAAAACACATTCTGAAGTGCTTGTTTTGGAACACAAAACTGCAATTTTTATTGTTTTTTAATTTTATTTAATTAAGGGACCAGCTATCTTCTACCCCCTAAAAAGTCCCATGCTTTAGCACATCCACTGATGAACTGAGCCTTCATCACTGTAGAGATTCCCAGCACAGTAGGAGGCAGATGTTTTCAGCAGCTGGAGCCCAGGTGAGCACTGCTGGTGAGGCAGGGCTGCTGCACCGTCCTGAGCAGGTCTGGCCCCCAGCCCTGCCCAGCATAGTGTGGCTGTGCAGGGATGAGCCAGAGATGGTCACACCACGCACTGCTTGTGCTCTGGGCTTTTCCATTTGCTCTCTGCTCCACTGGTGTCCCACAGTGCTTTCCCAGCACACAGCTCTGCAGGCTCTATGAACTAACAGAAAAGCCTTCTGTGATTCAGCAAAGGAGAACTCAGATTTTCTATGGCTTTCAAGCAACAAGCCAAAAACCAAAAAGGACCGATGAGGACATGTATTCCTAAATGCATCAAGATCTAACATCTCACATGCTACAGGAATGTGTGTGCTGCACAGTTTTGTCTCTACATAGAATCAGGATGCTGACTGAATCCAAAGAGAGATTTTTGTAAATCCTGCTTTAGCTCACCTGGTCTGTGTACACATCTGGTGGCACCATCTTATTAAAGAAGTCTGAGCATACAGCTCCTGCCTGTAGGTAATAGTGAAGGGCTGCTGAATACTGGTTAGTTGCTGCCAAGGGAAAAAAGCAAAGTAAGGTCTCAAAAATAAATAGAGCAGTCTTTTAATACTCAGATCAATTGTTTATGGAATTATTCAGGTCTCATAGTTGAATTCAACTGGGAAAATGACTCGTGTTTCATTGTTTAAAAAGCACGGACACACAAAGTGGTTACATAGTGCTAGATGGAAAAACTACATACTAGCAAAAAACTACACATTCAGGGAAACCAGCACCACAGGCAAATTTCTGCCTTTTGGGGGTAACTTTTTATTTCTTCAGGTAGCTGATCTTGAATCCATCAACCTTAGAGTGGAAGTTTGTCTTCAGTGAGCTTAGCACACATGGGGTAGTGAAAGGAGTTCGGTTGGTGTGAGGAGAAGGCAGCAGCCTCCCAGGGCTTTGTGGCAGGAGCAGCCTGCTTGTCCTTTGCTGCTGAAATACAGACCATTGACACTGCTCCAACCACTGTTCTTTCAAGTACCAGCTTCAAGGCTCCCTACATGAATGTCCTCCTTCCAGGATGCTGCTGCACTTTGTACAGTCAATAAACACTGAATAAAAACCAGGTTTATAACCCTGAATCACTCTCCCACATGTAACCTGACAGCACTGAACACTGGATTAAGACCCCTCCTCTCACCCTAAGGGTTATAAAACTGTAGCTATTCCTCATTCACAAGCCCTTCCTCATGTTTTGTCATCTACAAACACTTGATACTTCCCTGTATAAAATACAGATCCTCTCTGCTCTGCTCATCTTGTGCTCCACTGAAGCTGATTTCCACACTTAAAAGCAACCACTACCCACAACTTTTCATTCACTTATAAAACACTCAAGTACCATGGGTTTGCACAGTTACACCACTCATGCACCAACTGCACTACAAAAGTGAAGGGTAACTGTTCAAGTTTCCCTTACCCGAAAAGCAAATCTACGTGACCCAGCAGTAGCTCAGTGCATCTGTGGGCTTAGACACCTTCCCAGACAAATCCACCTACACCACTGCATCTGAAGGTTTTAACCTCATATATCACTTAAACTTCTTTTCATAAAAGGAAATACAAGGAGGGTCATGTCAAACAAATCTCAGAGAAACAAGGTACCTCTACACACACGTTAAACACAGACATTGGTTTCACTTACCAAAATAAATATCTGCCTGAATAATTAACCAGAAGTGGTTGTTTGCATTGATAGTCAAGGCATAGCTGACCAGCTCTTTTACTGTAATAGCTACAGCTTCAAAGTCCACTGATTGAAGACTAAAGGAAAAAAAGACAAATAATTACTAACTAATTGTTTTGTTTTTTTAACCACTAATTTGATTTCCCATCTAATTCAAGTCCAAAGCACCTTGCATTAAGTGTGAAGCATAAATAATTCTGGAAAATATTTTGTGTTGACTAAGACTACTGTTACAATACAGTAAATCTGACTGAACAATACAGCCTTCACAGGCTGAACAAAAAGGCAGAACTAAACCAGATTCTGAGATCCCACCCCACAGAGAGAAATTCCATTTCAGTGGAGAAACACAGTTCAACCCAGCTGCAATAAATCAATACCT